TTAAAGTTGCGAGCGAGCCATTTGGCTACTGCATGAATTAGTTGGCTCTGGAGCCATCCTTCCTGAGCTAAGACAAAAATGTGTGAGCTGGAGGCTGAAAAACTGTGAGCTAGCTCACACTAACTCAGCTTAGAGGGAACACTGGCAGTGACTGGTCAGTAAAGAAAAAGTTCATCTACGGGAGTAGATGTCTGAAGAGTCTGAATAAACATCTATCAGATAGGTTCACCTTTTGAATAAAGGGAGAAACTCCTGCTCTTAACTATATTCAAGGTAACCTGAGTAAGAATTCCGTCTAAGAATTCAGAGTCAATTTCAGCTAAAACAGAAGCATGTTTTCACACACACACACGCCAAGAACTGGGGTTTGAGATTTTGGCAAAGAGTCACTGGGTAGCAGGGTGAAGCTCCCAATCAGGCCAAAAGGAATAGGATTATATTTTCAGGGAAGAAATACAAGTCCTGTCCACTTATACAGGGAATTGGCACTGAGGCAGTCCCTGGTCTGTAGTGAAAGGACTACTCAGGGGAAAGATGAAAAATTGTGATTTCAGAAAAGGGGAAAGAATCTGATACACAAAACGAGGGATCTTTCCAGAAAACCTGAACTGTTATTAGGAAAATATATGCAGGAACATTGTAACTGAAACTTACTCAGTCAACCATCTCTCACTGATAAGAACCAAGAATTTGTAAAAAAATAAGCTGCTACAACACCATCTTGTCTGTCAACTGAAATATATACTGTTTTACCAACAATGTTTACCTCAGACTTTCTGCTTCCTGACTATTCCATACCATCCCTGCCTATTAAATAAAATCCTTATTATTGTTCACTGTGCACAGTCTCCAGTGCCATTTCAAGGGATCTAAAAAGACACCTCGGAATTGTGTTCCAGTCAAACTTATCCTGGTCCAAACATGTCTACTATCTTAAGCAGAAAGTTGGCTTAGCCCTTCTGTTTTAGTTGGCTTTAAGGAGCTCAGTATGTGCAAGCACTCTTGAAAGCATACAAGGCTCCTGTGATACTGCGCTTGCAGTGTGGCTCCTGGGCACAACAGAACAACTTGATAAACTCCAGCGGACTTTCTTCTGCAAAATACTCACAACTACTATCCTGCACAGATTCTGTAGCTGTGCAATTTGAACTGGGCCTTCCAAATATTTCAACTCTGATCTGAAAAACTGTAGTTAGTTTTAAGTACAGACTGTCAAACTCCGAGGATCTTCCAGCCTTTACCATAACTAGCAGCTCGTGAGCGCCGTTGGTCAAAATGGATCAGAACTGTGGATACAGAAACACAGGGCTGTTTTTGTAGAAAAAGCCCAGCAGGAACTCATTAGCATAATAGGCCACACCCTGACACCACAGCTCATTAGCATATTAGGCCACAGCCCCCTATTGCCAGAAGTGTGGTCATCCAGCCACACCCACCTTTTGCTTCTTATTCTGTTTACCTTGTTTGTTATCAAAAACCAGGGCCTTTTTTGTAGCAGGGACTCCTTTGCATGTTAGGCCACACACCCCTACTGTAGCCAATCCTAATGAGTTTCTGCTGTTGGGTGTGGCTTATTATGCTAATGAGTTCCTGCTGGGTGTGGCCAACTCAGGAGCCAGCCGGAACGCCGTTCCTGTGCGTTCCTGCCCAAAATAGCCCTGCAGAAACAAACCAACTAGGCTTCTGGAAGTTAAAAAACAGCAGGAAAAAAGATGAGTTACTGCTCATAGAGAAACTCCTTAAACAGGACCAGGACTTTCTTCAAAATGACGCAAAAAGGAAACGTTCTCCTACTCATCTGGGAATCAAGTATTCAATTCAATCTGATCCACCTCACTATCTCAATGTGCTGGCAGTTCCAAAACTGAGGTGGTCCTACATGACCACACGTTGTAATGCGCTGCCAACAGCACAGTTGAAGGGCCATTTCCTTAAGACACCTCCAGACCAGTGCTTTTCTGACTGCCCTTTGGCAGAACTTGACTCGCTGTACCACACCTTTTTCTACTGCCCAAAGCTTGAGAGAGATTTCTTCAAAAATGGATACTCAAATATTCAACCGTTTCTGATACTCAAAAAGTACGATTACTCCTGAACCGCCTCTGTGAGAACTGTATTGTAGATGTGGCAAAACTTTTGTTTTACTGTGATTTTTAATTCTTAATTTGTTTACATTGTGTATGGGCTGTTAATAAACGGAACTAAACTAAGAGTGACACTGAAATTAGGATTTATCGAGACAACCTAGAATTCACTGATTGTCTATGGGCCAAGTCCTGATCTCTCAAGCTAACCACAGATAAACTAAACTGTGGGTTTCCGTTATGTCTGAACTGATCCACGGGGGGCACCTTTCTTCTCTCCCCACCTAGTTCCTTACACTGCCCAAGTGAGCTTTTAGTTGCCCCTGTTTTTATTCCACTGGTGCCATCCAGCGCCTCAGCCTCTCTTCCTCCCACCCTAACTCCCTGTCTTTCCCACTGAGAAGCTTATTTGCCCCTGCTTTTAGCCACAGTTTTCAAGCTCTGTTTGCACCCTTCCCCTTCGAGGGCTATCAGCACGCCACTATGATTCCATAGGAGTGTAGCAGACATACACATCATGGCAGTGGGGCACAGAATTCGGCTTCCTAAAAAACTCAAGATGGCTTTTTTTTTTTTTAAACCCACAACAACTTTCCAATTTTTGAGGTCGCGCAGATATGCTGGAAAATAACTGGGCAACATCTGCAGAAGCCTCAAGAGCCAGAGGGATTTCTAGTGATTTGAGTGTCTTTGTAGCTTCTTAACCGCCACTCCTCTGCTGAATTTTGTGAACCACAATGACACCAAATAGTTTTTTAAAACTGCAGAATTATGCTAGAAAATTATACCATTTTCACACAACACTTGCTTCCTGGCCTGGGGTAAGATGTGCACAGTTGCAAACCCCTCCCTTCCCTCTTGCCTGATAACAATCTTTTTCGATTGGCAGACATCCACATTTCTCTCTTGGCCAAGATCTACAAGTGTGCCCACTTTGCAGTCCTGGAGAAAACCCCACCATTCTTCAGACTTGGGAGATCTCCCCAGCCCTGTGCTCAGTGCCACAGACACTAACCCTCAGTAGCTGGAGTGGAGGTTTCCCCTATGGAGCTCAGCAGAATATCACCATCAAGAGTGACTCCATCACTCAAAGCAGAAAGGCAAGGTCAGTGGCAAACAATCTGGACTGGCTATCTAGCCCGCCAAAGTCTGGGGTAAATGACTGACTTTCCTGGACCTTTCAGGGAAGGTAGTTGGTAGGAGAACAGACAAGATAAAATGGGAGGGGGAGAGAAGAACAGAAACATAAGGAGAGGAGCTGATGGGTGGAACAGAACATGGAGCATACTTGAAAGTCTGAGGAACTGTTTGCAAGGTTGTTGTAGGAGTAAGATGACCGATCTTTTGCAGCAGTTCCGGTTACTGGGATTCATGATCCTCAAAGAAGAGGAAACAATGGCAGCTTTTTGTTTATTTTTTTGCCATGGTGCCAAAGCAACTGTGACTGCTGTCATTTCTCTCCTACTTTCATGGGAGAAATGAAATTCCATAGACCAAAAACGACAACAACCCAGAAACTACCCCCCCCCATACCATATATCTTTCTCTTGGCAACATAAATTTTTATCCAACGTTTTCATTATCCAATTAAACACAGAATAAAAAGGAGCTGTAAATCAAAATCCTGAAAATGGCCACAGTTAACCGATCCTCTGCACTAGTAGAAAATAAGAGGGGGGAAAAATACAAAGACAAATTGGATATGCAAGTATCACAATTCTGAGCAGCTGATACACATCAGGATTTCGACCTATTCAGACACACTAATGACTCAAACGCATTCATCCAAGAGCTCAGTTTGACTCTGGTTTATAGCTGCCTAACAAGCTGAACGAAGTGACTTCTAAGGCTAATTCATGAGTCAGGGCATGGGGGGGGGTTGGCGGGGGGGGGGTTAAAACAAATCCTAGTCTATGTAAGAACTAGTACCTGAAGTGCTTCCCTTGGGAATTTCATACCCCACCTGTTCTTAGGTAACTGTGTGTCTGGAAGAAAAAGATATTCGAGCTTGAGCCCCCCCTCCCTTACTCTGTCTCCCAATTCTTGTTACTGACGGCTGGGCTGGGTTAGAGAAGAGGCTCTAGTTTGAATTACAAAACCAGGTTCCTGAGCAGGCTTCAGCTTCCCTTGAAGGTAAGCCATAGAAGTCAATATACCTTCAGGATCTGTGCACTATACTTGTGTGGACATTACCCCGGAGTTATTGCCATGCTAAAGGGTAAAATGTTTTGTCAAATCCCCTTACTTCTGTAAATATGCGACTTCTCCCAAGAAACAGGGAATATGCAATATGAGGCGCCTCTTTTCACCCAGAGTTCCTGTCTGCTGTTATACAGAAAATAATTTATTGGAGTCAACTTAAACGGATAGATTTCGTTTTCCAATAGTTTGCCATGTACTGGGGAAAGGGGAAAGAAGAGAAGATACAACAAGTTAGTCATATACTAACAAAGCACTTCTTTAGCTTGATCCCTGGTTTGCACCATCATTTCTGTGACGGGTTGGCTTTTGCCAACCGACCTCTTCGAACCCATTGTTTCCAATTATCAATCCACCTACCTGAGAAGGGGGAGGGTCAAAAGAGAGACAGAGAAGGCAAATATCACACTAAACAGGACTGATGGGCCACACTGAACTATTAATGCAACTGGACACTTTTCTTTCATTCTTGATGCCCTGCTAATTTCAGGACTTCCGTTAATAATGCAGTTAATGCTGACAATTATGAAGGTACCATAGTCGAGGCATAGCTGCTAGAAGCTTAATGTCTTTTTTTTTTTTCTCAAGTAGCTTTCACATCCGTCAAAAAACAAAGTTCCACATCGGCGGCTACTGTCAACCGAGCCACTCTACAAGGTTGCTAGTCTGCCTCCCACCCACCCCCATCCCTGCCCTTCATATTTAAGGGTACTGGCTAAAATGTCATTAGTTCAAAACATACACATTTAAGCAAACTAGGCTGTCTTATTTCCTTTGACGGAGCATCACAAACTGTCCGAGGCATTTTTCTCCGAAGAAGACGATAAGCTGAATGAGGTATCATCAGGTTCTGGAGATGCGTGATTGAAATCCATCTCTTCTAACTCTGGAGGTAAATCTGCCAGAAGTGCCTGCGATGGGTATAAAACACAAAGAACAAGAACTTGCTGTAGACTTTGGTGGACTTGGTTCAAAAGAAAGACCACCTGGGGACTGCAAATGGCTCCCTGGGTTCTGCCACCTTCCAGGGGAGCCACAAAAGCAAACACCCTTTAGCAGCCTGCCAAGCAGTATTGTTAATAACAATTTGTCCTTCAGTGTAAAAGTCTCAAAGCAACTTACTAACGTGGGAAGCATCAAATTAAATTAAATGCATTTATTTGATTTTACTTCATTTATACCCCCACCCTTCTCCCCAACAGAGACCCAAAGTGGCTTGCATAATTCTCTCCTCCTCCATGGTATTCTCACAACAACCCTGTGAAGCAGGTTCAGCTAAGAGTGTGTGGCTGGCCCACCGTCATCTAGAAAGTTTCCATGACAGAAGTGGGAATTCAGATTTGATTTTCCCAGCGTTTAGTCTGACATGACATCGCACTTGCTCTCACTAAAATAAAAAAAAATTAAAATAAAAAAGAGGAAAGAACAGGAAAACCAGAGATCATCCTCTGAGAGGAGCATCACTCGTCATCGCTTGAGTCACGTTCTCAACTGCACGCTCTTAGTTTTACCTGCTGCTGTTCTTTATCATCTGTTTTGATAGCAAGTATCAAACTCCTAGTGAAAGTCTGCAGTTCAAAATACTTCTGTTTCTGATGCTCCAGTTCATTTTCCATGAATCTAACTTCTTCATTCTGAGGAGGAGGAGGTGGAAAAGAAATACATCAGGCTCTAAAAACAAAAAAACCTTTAGCATTTGGGAAGCAATAATGAACTACGTTATACATATAGATGGATCACACGGAGAAAGCTAAGTGGAGTTTTAAAAACCTTAATAATACAGGCAAGTACACCAGGAAAGGCATCATCATTGGGGGGGGGGGGGGGAGACCAAGGGAGAGAACAGCTTATTAGAAAGAACCAAACAGGTTTTATTACATTTTTAAAAAATCGTATACATTTTATGTGCTTGGACTGGCTAATGTAATCACACTTCATATTTTGGACACTCCAAGATACACATACTGCAAATACGATTGTCAACAACAGCCTGGCTGTCCCCTTAATAGAGTGCTCGATGGGATGTTATTTATGTCTTTGTTCACCTGCCCACTTCCACCCATGAAGCCTCTATTGGCAACCCTAACCACAAAGGACTTTCCGTCCAGTCAGACCTGGCAGTGCGTATGCTCTGTGCTTGTGGCTATCAGGATATCTGGAGTCTAAACTGGGAACCCCCAATGTCAGAGACTGGGAATGAGCCTTACCCAGGATTGTGTGCATGGAGGTTCTGGAACCCCCCTTCGGGCACGGACAGGAATAAGGATGTGCAACATGGTCACTTATGACTGGCAAGGAGTAAGAAGCCTCTGAATGAGTGAGGCCAGCGACAGTACCAGGTGCTTGGCTTTCTGTTCTCCCCTGGTGAGTAGAACAGTAATTGAGACTCCGGTTTCAGCTACTGACTGTGGGGCCTCGCCTGCCTCAGGGCTGCCGAGGAGGGGGGTTTCCTGGGGGTCCGAGTCAGCTGGAGGGCCCCTAAAGCCAGCCTCATGCTGCATTCAGAGTGTATCCAACTTGTCTTCTAATGCAGTTCTGCACTGCAGTCATTAGGGGAGCAGGGAAGGCATATCACAGTAAACAGGAGCTGCTCTGACTATGCTGGCCAGGCCTTTCTGCAACGCTTACTGCCAGGCTGCCGGAAACCCTTGCTTAACTAGGGATGCCAGCCTCCAGGTGGGGCCTGGGGATCCCCCCAGAATTACAGCTCATCTCCAGAACACAGAGATCAGCTCCCTGGGAGAAAATGGATGCTTTGGAGGGTGGACTCTGTGGAACTGTTCCCCGCTCAGGTTGTCCTCCCAGATCCCGTCACCAAATCTTTAGGAGTTTTCCAACCTGGAGCTGGTAGCCCTACCTCCGACCGCCACCAGTGGCCAGGGGGAACCTGAAAACCAATGCTCCCTCTAAGCTGTGAGCAAAAATTCTACTTTGTGAGCGACTGGCATTAAAGTTGTGAGCGAGGGATTTGGCTACTGTATAAATGAGTTTGCTCTTGAGCCCTCTTTCCTGAGCGAAGGCAAAAATGTGTGAGCCGGAGGCTACAAAACTGTGAGCTAGCTCACACTAACTCAGCTTAGAGGGAACATTGCTGGCAACCCTAGGCTTATCGGATACTGCTAAACTTATCAACCAAGCCAGCAATGGAACAAGCCCAGCCAGCACAGCTCATGACTGACTGAGTCACTGCAAGGATGCAGCCTCCTTGCCACAATGCAGCCTCCTAACAAGGTTGTTCTCTCCAGCAGTCTGTTCCCCTCTTCCTTTCCTTCCACCCAGCTCCGTCATTTTGTCTGCTCAGCCAGACCTTCCAAAGGGGTAGCTCTATTAGTGTGCTGTAGAAAATAAAGCAACTCAGTTTTTCTTAATTTCTCTCCCTCTTTCCCCATTTTTTCTCCTTCCTTCTTCTTGCTCTCTTCCTTTCATAATCTGCCCTCATTTCTCTATCCCTGCTTCCAGTTCCACCACCACCCCCATTTGTCAGTATTGGTCTTAACTACTTTTCATACCTGCTTGACAACTTAGAATTTACTTAATGGTAGTATAACAGCAAGGGGCTGTGGTGGCTCAGTGGTTAAGATGCTGACCTGCAGACCGGAAGGTCAGTAGTTCAGCAGTTCGAGACCCAAGTGCCGTGTGACAGAGTGAGCTCCCGTCTCTGGTCCCAGCTCCTGCCAACCTAGCAGTTCAAAAGCAAGAAATTGCAAGTAGATAAATAGGTACCGCTTCGGTGGGAAGGTAACAGCGTTCTGTGCACCTTGGCGCCTAGTCATGCCGGCCACATGACCACGGAAACATCTTCGGACAGCGCTGGCTCTTCGGCTTGGAAACAGAGATGAGCACCGCACCTCTAGAGTCAGATCTGACTGGCTTTCGTGCAAGGGAAACCTTTACCTTTAGTATAATAGCAAACCCTTGTTAATATTATGATCAGAAGCGGTGTGTGTGTGTGTGAGAGAGAGAGAGATTTCCCCATGATCTAGCAAACTAGTAAAAGAATGGCCCTGACCTGGATAGCTCAGGCAAGCCCAATCTCATCAGATCTTAGAAGCTAAGCAGGGTCAACTCTGGCAAGTACTTGGATGGGAGACCTCTTTGAAATACCAGAGGCAGGGGCAGGCTTTATTCAGCCACCTCTCTGAATATCCTCCATGCACCCAGTAGGGGCCAGTCACCATGACTTCCAGGTGCACACAAATTCACAAGCACACACACACATATTCACAAACACACACACACACATATTAAAAAATACCCCCCAAAAAAGCTCCCTTGTAAAAGAATGCTTCCCCCCTCCTTGACATGCACGGCAATGAAATATTAGTCTGTATTACTGGTCACCCAATGGAACAGAACTCCCTCCCCCCATTAGATTTAATTACATTTTAAACACTGTTCAGGAGTGCGTTGTTGTTGTATTGGTGGGACATCTAATATCCCTCTGTAAACACTACTTCGCTACTGTAGACACTAAACTTCATGTTATATGACAGATTATGTAATCTTTTTAGAAAATGTCAGTTAAATCGATCCCAACGATCCCTGTACTTCTCCTGCAGCACCACTACATAATCAATTTGCCTCTGCTTTTGTGTTAGGTAAAGATACAAGAGTAAACTTAAACAGACTTCTTACCGACTTACGCACTAAAGATTTATTGTGATAGAAGTCTTTGTGAACTACAGCCCATTTCACCAGATGTGTCCTAATACTGGCACACATACGTAAGTGTGTACAAAGATAAAATTAAAAAATTAGACACATGGTTTGGATTAGGGTTATACAGTAGAGGGACAATGTGGACTCTTTGTCCAATGGCCCCCGGTGACTATTGGCAGCCCTGCCCTGATCCAAAGAACAGCTCCGTTTCCTAATATTGTTGCCTTTGGTTCAGACCTGTTCCCAAAAGCTACTTGATGTAATGTGACCTGCATGGAGTTGGTTGGGGTGTTACTTGTGGGGCTGAACTAGATGACCTGTTACTTCCTTTTCCAAACTTAAGATTCCATCTTTGGTGCCGAATGACTGATTGGCTCTCCTCTCAGCAACACCCTCACCCCCCAGATTTCTAGACCTCTGCCAATTCCAGGTAAAAAGTGCAAGTTACAGAGAATAGATAGCATCTAGGAATAATAAAATTGTAATTATCACCAGGAAGCAGATGACACAAGAGTGATGTTCCTTAGAACTCACTCAGACGCTGCTGAGCTCATGACACTAGAAATTATAGCGAAAGGCGTGCTTTGCTCTTTCCTTTTAAGACTGCCTGAACTGGGTTTTTAATCTCCCCCCCAGCCCCAAAATAAAATGAAAAGGAAAGGTGTGAGGAAAGCTGGCAAGTAGGGGGGAAAAACATTTTAACAAACATGAAAGATTTCTTTACCCTCATTTACGAAAGACGACTTGCAAATTAGAATTCCACCGCGTTCGCTCTGAGCAAATAGACTCTGAGGGCACAGCAGATGCGTGACATGGAGAAGTTCAATAATAACGCTAGGAAGAGACTGATTGCTACATTCCTCCTCATTTATTCACAAGGAGGAAGATATGAAAAGCGCTTTCTTGTTTGTGGAAAAGAGAAATCTAATTTGGGCATGTAAAATAGCTTAAGAACACACGTAACTGTCAGTTGACTCTCTCACTGGTATATAGCCACGTCGCTGAAGGACACTTGATCAATACTGTGGACGCTACAGGTCTGACGCTTGCTCATTTGTAAATTGAACGAGGATCATTTTTTTCCCCAGTTTAAAAAATGATCATACAAATGACTCTTTAGAAACCAATCCTGAAGATGCATGTGAAGGGCTCTTGCTTCATCAGTAGCTGCAGGGACGCACGGTATTTGGCACCTGCTTCTTAGGTGGCACCTTATGGTCTGCTTTGGTTGGAAGAGGGCTTGGCACCTGCATTTCTGAGCCAAGTCTGTCTGTTCTAAGCAGGCAGCAACATGGCATGGCTGAAAACAGGAATGGTGGGAAGTTCCTGGTCCCGATGACAAGGGCAGGGCTGCCTTTTGCCCTGCTTCCCCCACTTGGCACACGGTCTCCGGCCAGGCACAGTAGCGTGACACCCTTACATAGTTTACTTTCACTGCTGCATCACCATACTTGACAGCCAATTAGAAGCACAAGCACAAAGCAATACTATTTATTTATTTATTGTTTGCATTTATATCCCGCCCATCCCGCGCAGGCAGGCTCAGGGCGGGTACTGGGTTTTACTGAATCGGATGAGCTTGTTCTAATGGGAGAGCTCGATCGGAAGGAAATCACACTGCCTTGGCTACAATGGGTGGCGTGGCATTTCAAGGTATCTGGAGCTCCTGGCATTAAAGTTGTGAGCGAGCAATTTGGCTATTGCATAAATTAGTTTGCTCTGGAGCCCTCCTTCCTGAGCGGAGACAAAAATCTGTGAGCCGGAGGCTAAAAAAAATGTGAGCTAGCTCACGCTAACTCAGCTTAGAGGGAACACTGCTCACAACTGTTTTGTTTTGCAGAATCGCAAGCTACCTTTCACCAGCCTGAGGGAGGCTGCCGGTCATGTCAAAGCACCCTCTCCTCTCTTTCAAGACTTTGAGTGATAAAGGAAAAACGAAGGCCCGCCTGGTTTTTAATGAGGAATAAACGCTTCTGGGTCATCTTGTTGAGCTCAGGCTATGGTCCAGTCAAAGCATAAATGCATATTTATGCAGGGACAATATGGCACGAAAGACCAACGTTTGTGTCAAAATGCAATAAAAACACATAAGGTTCTGCAGGGCATGCTGTCACAGCACACCATCCAATTTGGTGACAAGTAGCATTAAGGAAAGGTCATCCTCCCCCCCCCCCCCCCCCCCCTAATTCATTTCGCACTGCCCTTACTTACAGCGCTCATGAAATTAGTGTGAGGACCTCAAATTTTGTATGCAATGTGAGTATTTCTGAAAGGCACTCCCACTTACTTTATATCTAGGTAAAGTCCCAGTACAATATACAACCTTTATTCTAACACCAACTGAAATTTGTTTGAGGGTGTTTTGTTGACAGTGAATTGCCGCTCTCCAGTACACAAGTGTCGCTTGTCACTTTGGCGAAAGGCAGCAGTCCTCAGATTTTTCTTCTACTGCATAAAAAGCAAGCTTCAGGGTATAACCCACAAGCTGCTGGAAAAACGGCAGATCCCTTCTGTCTTCAGAGAAGCCCGAGTCCCGCTCCCAAATGTTTACTCTAGTGCCACACCCCTGTGATCTAGGGTTGCCAATTTCTGACTTGGGGAAGTTCCGGGAGATTTGGGTGTGTGTGCCTGGGGAAGGAGGAGCTTGGGGAGGGGAAGGATTTCAGCAGAAATACAACGCCACACAGTCTGTCCTCCAAAGCTGCCGTTTTCTCCGGATCGACGGATCACTGCGCCGAACTAGACGTTAGGGGCCGATCTTGAGTGGGCCTACAGTGTGGTGCTCTTATCCCCCCCTCCATGTGGCTCTTCAAGCACCGAACAGACACGCAGGGATGTGCGGCTGTGGCCATTTTGGCATTTGATAAGGCACAGGGCAGTAGGAGAACAAGAGCACCTCCACCCCTTGCTCTGCAGGCCTGATCAGGATGGGGCCCTTGCAGCATTTTTAAGCGACTTTAAAATGGCAATGGCATCCTCATGGCAGCCATGGAGATGCCATCAAGTCTAGTTTGATCCTGTAATGATTTCTTGTTTTGGTGTGTGTTTCTTTAAATGTTTAGTGTGGCTGCAGTAATGTAAGGCGAGTGATAGAGGGAGATAAGTGTGATGTGATTGGCTGATCACTGAGAGTGTGGGAGGAGAGATGTCTCTGAGGTGATTCAGTGTTCATGAAGAGACGAGTGTGGAGAGTTTGTGTGAGAGTCTGTATGACAGAGGAAGCAGTTGGAGTTTAGTTTAGCCTGTGTGACTATATATATGAGAGAGAAAGTTCAGCCTCTGTTGCTATATAAGCAAGAGAGTAGCCTGTGTGGCTATATATGAGCAAGAAGGTTCAGCCTGTGTGGCTATATATATATATGAGAGAAAGATAAGCCTGTCAAGAGTTGAGTTTTGGTGTATGAGAGACTGTGTGTGACGCCAAGCTTTATCAGTTATATTTTCTTTCTTCAAAAACAGTTCAAAAATACCCAGAAACCTATTTTGTTCTCTTATAAATAAATCAATATTTGTTTAAACTTATCCCAGCAATCAGAACAGTCCTTCCTCAGGGCCACATAGTCCTCTGAAGTGCCCAGACACTGGGTCATTCTATCAAAATAGAGAGATTTGGAAGTGTTAATTCCTGGTGGCAGCAGAAATCTACTAAGTTTATGTCCATAGAGTGAGTTTTAAAGGAGAAACAGTCTCCCCAATAAGCAAGGATGCCACAGACCATCTGCAGATCAGTTGTAATTCTCTGAAAACTCCAGGGCCTATCATGGAGGCTGGTAGCCCTACTGTGATCTTGTGTTAATAAATCCCAAAATCTCCATTTAAATTACATGCCCAAGCCATCGAACACTCAGAGCTCGGGGTACCCCATCCTCCTAAGCACTTGTGGGCAATAAATCTTAGAACTGTGCAGTTAACTAGCTTAAGCTGCAGCAGGTTCTCTTAAAAGGTTTCTCCATCACTCTAATTGGTAATAGGGGAGAGGCGTGATGCTGTAGTATGTGATTCCAGGTAGAAATAACTTCCTCTCCTCTTCTCCTCTGTCTTCCCCAACTTACCAGTGTTATCACATTTTGTAAAAACAAAAATAAGAAAAACAGACTTGCGTTCAATAAATGTTTGAATCTGATGAAAATGCTGTCTTTGCAAACAAGACAATGGGGAGGGGCGGAATGAAAGATGTCTGTAAAATCATGATATGCCTAAGAGATGTGCATACAGCAGACAGACTATTTGAATAACGTTCCGTATTTCTACAATTAAGGGGAAAGTAGTAATAAGGAAGATGCAGATCTAAACACAGGGAATGCAAATGAAAGATTAGAAAACCTTCTGTATAGGACTGAAGCTTCACAGCAGCACCTGCTGGTGGCTCGAACTAATCTCATCCTCTTGTGATTCCTTCAACAAAGCCTACATTTTGGTTTGCAGTTAGCTAATCGCCTTTCTACACGAAAACCAAAGCTAAGGTACTTGCTTTGTAGTCCAGAAGAGAGCTCATTTGATCCACTTCAGAATTACTTATCATATCACTTTCTTCATCATCTATGATTTCTATTTTCTGAAAAAGAAACAAACAGGGCATCCTGTTTCAAAATCAAAGGTTGTATGGCCTTTACAAGAGATATTAAACTGTCCTGGTACTTATAAGGGTTGCAAATATTGCTCTTTAAAATTAGAATTAAGAGATTCTCAGCGCGCCAGCTAAGCTTTCTGCATGTTTATGGCACTGCCCTGAGTATAGCTTACCAGAATGACCACAGGTACACCTTCATATCTGCCACACAAGCACGGATGCAATTACAAGTACTAGTTTGTAGAAAGCCACCTACCACGTTATCAGCAGATACAGTAGTCTGGTCCTCCTCTTTGTGACCGATGTCTTCACTCTGAAGAACTTCACTGTGTTCTTCTGCAGAAATTAAGAAAGCAAGTGGTTCTGAATAAGCAGATGAAATGCAGGGCTCCTATCAAACCCCACAACATCCGACAAAGGCAGAAATTTCGACTCTATGTTTTATATAAACTCAGTCTCTCAAAATACATCTTTTTCCAGCAATGAATTTATCATAGTACATATAACCATGATCAGCTATCCCAAGACAACCTCTTCTGTTTGGTTAATCCCTGATTTGTTTACACAACTGACAAGTTAATTATAGGCGAAATAGAGTTTCTGGACTCTTAGGACAAGTGATTTAGTATAGTCTGCAATAAGACAGCTACAGTTCATGGGAGCAGTCTGAAAAAAAGGAGTCAGTGCCATTCTCAGATCATTCAGAGCTATGTTCCACCTACTTGTGCTTTTATACGGACCAAGAGGCCCCCAGTTTGCACATAAATGGGTGTCAGCAGTAGGGTGACCTGACAGGCAATCCTGTGGGGCCTGATGCCACCAGCGCTGGAGTAGCAATCCAGAACACATTGTAATGGTGTCCCATATGCAAGATCTAGCAACCCCAGAAGTGAAGATAACCACTCCACAATCCTGGGAGAAATGATACAGGCAAGGCAGCACTAAGCATTTCTGGCGACTTGCACCCCAACAATGGAACAAGCAATCCAGTAGATGAGCCACTTAGTGTGTAAAGGATCCTTAGAAGGATACCACTTGGATTGCACCGTATTTTCTAACCATATTTCCTTTACTTAAAGAAAGAACAAAAACACTGTTCATCACTCTGAGGACCTGGTACATTCTGTGAAAATGCTAAAGAACCCATCACACGCACAGGCCACAACCTTCGCTGCTCTAGGTTAACACTTTGTTCTGAGGTTCTTAATAAAACCACAAAACACCACCTTAGTAGGGTTGCCAGCTTCCATGTGGTACCCGGAGATCTCCTGGGGTTACCAACTGATCTCCAGGTGGCAGGAATCAGTTCACCTGGAGAAAATGCCACCTTTGGAAGGTGGGCCCTATGGCGTTGTTCCCACTCAGGCCCTTGTCCTCCCCAAACACCACCCTCCTCAGGCTCCACCCCCAAATTCTCCAGGTATTTCCCAACTTAGAGGTGGCAACCCTACACCTTAGCATAGGAATCTATTCTCATTTTAAAAGCGTCCTAACACATTGCAACACTCCAACAAAAGTCTTAGGTGTAGTCAAGTCCAATGCTCCCTCTAAGTGTGGAGTCTTATGAGCAAAAATTCTACTCTGTGAGCTACTGGCATTACAGTTGTGACTGAGCAATTTGGCTACTGCATCCATTAGTTTGCTCTGGAGCCATCCTTCCTGAGCTAAAGCAAAAATGTGTGAGCCAGAGGCTAAAAAACTGTGAGCTAGCTCACGCTAACTCAGCTTAGAGGGAAAGTCCCTCAAGTCTCAATAAAAGCAGGGGACTGAACCATGGCTACCTAACCATCAGTCACATTTTCACCCCACTCCTCTTCCCAGAAGCGCAGAGTGGCATACAGGGTTTCCCCTTGTTTCCTAACAGCCACTTTGCGGAGAAGGCTAAGAGGACAGCGAGTGACTGCCGAGTGATCATCCAGTGGGGTTTGAACTTGAGTCAGTCACAGGCTAGCTATTACGTCACATGGCATCTTCATTTCATGTGTCCCAAGTTGAACTAGTTTTGGAATTGGCAATAATGGGGCAGAGGGGAATTACACAGATGAACCAGCACCACATCGCCTTTATTTATTTATTTATTCGAGTATTTCTACCCCGCCCTACCCCGCAAGCGGGCTCAGGGCGGCTGAGCTTTCATTCTCTGTTCCTAAGAAAACCCTCTAGTTATCTCAGATCTGTGTAAGTATTGATTATAATCATTTTTCACTGCCTTTCGCCAGACCCAGATAACATGAAGATGCCATTGCACTTGAAGACGCAGAATGCTTCAGCTCTGCTTTTTGAGTCTCCTGCTGGAGGAGTTCTTTCTCCCCTGGGCCGGTGAAGATTCACAGACTTTGGCAACCTACTTGGCTTTCAATCACTTCAACCCAGCTCTTTTGTTATCTTATTCTCTTTATAGCTGAAGTTTTGACAAGGCCATCACAAGTTTGTGCCCAACAGCTCTCCGACGTTTTCTCTCCCCAGATATTCAAACAAAACGGTACGATTGAGCCTGACATGTGAATCTGCAGATGTGCCCCAGAAACGTGCTATTTTTGAAGTTCAGAAGCCATAGGCTTTCCTCTGACTGGGACAAATCAACACTTAGCAGGACTTGTGGAAACCACACAATACATGAATGCAAGTTTAACCCTGTCTCAAGCCGCCATAGCCTCTTCTGTTTTAGAAACCTACAGCATGTCATTATAACTTGTCTCTACCAGAGCCAGTTTGCTGTAGTGGTTAAATGCGCAGACTCTAATCTGGGAGAACCGGGTTTGATTCCCCACTCCTCCACTTGCACCTGCTGGATGACCTTGGGCAAGCCATAGTTCTGGCACAGCTGTTCTTGAAAAAGAGCAGTTTCTGTCAGGGCTCTCTCAGCCCCACCTCCCTCACAGGGTGTCTGTTGTGGGGAGGGGAAGGGAAAGGAGTTTGTAAGCCGCTCTGAGACTCCTTTGGGTAGTGAAGGGTGGGGTATAAATCCATTCTCTTCTCTTCTCTTAATTGCTACGGCTGACAGCCTCCAGGTGGTGGCTGGAAATCTCCTGGGATTACAACTGACTGCCAGGCAACAGATCAGTTGACCTGAAGAAAATGTCCACTTTGGAAAGTTGCCTCTATGGCATGAAACCCCATCAAAGCCCTTCCACTCCCCAAACCCCACCCTCTTCGGGCTCCACCCCAAAAACCTCCAGATATTTCCCAACCCAGAGCTGGCCACCCTATCTGTTGCTGTCAAGACAGTCTTGCCTTCTCTTGAGCTAGGAGGCTTTGTGCATTCTCCTTCTTAGAAGGCCCTGTTGGGCCCTAAAACTCATGATGATTTTGAGCCCTTTCCCCATTTTTAGACAGGAAATAAACCTCAGCAGACTGGCAAAGGAGTGGGACTGCCTGACTGCTGCCCTGCAGTCACTCAGTTGAGCAACGGAAGACACACAACCACAGAAAGAATCCTAAGCTATCTATCTAAGCCAATCTTCTACAGAACCACATCGGAAAAACCACAACATACATCAAAGATTCAACACAGTTCATCAACAAAATCAGTCCTCTGAAACTAAACCCACAGGACATACTTGTCAGTTTTGATGTGGCATCTCTTTTTACCAAGGTTCCACTAAAATACACACTCGCACTTGTTAATCAGATTTTTCCAGAGGACATAACAGCCTTATTCCACCATTGTTTGACAACCAGTTACTTCCAATGGGATAATGAATTCTATGAACAGATGGGTGGGGTTGCCATGGGAAGCCCTCTCAGCCTGGTTATAGCAAACTTCTACACGGAACATTTTGAAAACACAGCTTTAGAATCTCACCCCACAAGCCTACAGTCTAGTTTTGGTACGCAGATGATACCTTTATCATTTGGAGCCATGGAGAGGTAGAATTGATGGAGTTTTTAAGACCACTCAACAACATCCACCCAAACATACAATTCACCATGGAAAAAGAAATTGAGGGTAAACTCCCATTTCTAGATATCATGGTCATCTGCAAAGCTAACCTTCAATTAGATCACACGGTCTACAGAAAACCAACTCACACAGATCGTTATTTACACAAAAACTCCAATCACCACCCTCGGCAAAAAAGAGGCATAATCAAAACATTAGTAGACTGTGCAAGAGGGATATGTGAACCACGCTTTCTCAACGATGAACTAAATCATCTAATCCATGCATTTCAAGCAAATGGCTACTCCAAGGATGAAATCAGAAGAGCGATTAAAGCAAAGGTAAAACAAACAACTGAGGAAAAACAGTCTCCCACAGGAAAAGTGTTTTTGCCATATATCAAAGGAATCACTGTTCAGATGGGAAAACGTACGAAAAAACACAACCTACAAACAGTATTCAGACCCACCAGAAAAATACAACAGATGCTACGATCAGCAAAAGACAGAAGAGACCCTCTCACTTCTGCAGGATTATACTGCATACCCTGCCACTGTGGACAGGTTTACATCAGGACTACACAATGTAGCATCCAGACAAGAATAAAAGAACATGAAAGACACTGCAGAATTGGCCAACCTGAAAAATCAACAGTGGCTGAACGTAGCCTAACTCAAACAGGACACAGTATCTTATTCCAAGACACTGAAATGCTGGACAACACATCCAATTACCATGTCAGATTACACAGGATTGTTGTTCAGTCGCACAGTCGAGCCACTGAAATTTATAAACACAAACACAATTTCAACAGGAAAGAAGAGAGTTTAAAAATAGATAGGGCATGGTTTCCAGTCCTGAAAAACACAAAATGCTCTACATCTTACAACAGCACTACAGATAAGAATTTCAACAGCCAATCCATATGCAAAAGAACCTCCTCAGGAAAGCTCGTCCATTAGCATGTCACAGCCTGGGAAACTCCTACAAGATAATGACTCAGCCCTACCCCACCTTCCTGAGTAGATAGAAATTACCTGCCTACCATTTTTCTTCTCACACTGACACAGAGAGTACTCCCTCTTTCTGTGTTATACCTCTGAGGATGCCAGTCACAGCTACTGGCAAAACGTCAGGTACTGCAATGCCAAGACCACGGCCATACAGCCTGGAAAATCTACAACTAATCCTAAACTAGACTAGCAGCCCCAAATGGAAGTGGAACTTGACAGGGCACAATTATCCTCAATACCTTCCAACTGAAGATGAAGCAGGAGAGCTGGCTGTGAGGTTGATGCTTTGAAGCCTCTTCCACAGGGAACAAGAAAGCATTCTCTTCCCCACTCCTCCCATTTCGCATCCTTAACCACAATCTTGTATGCTGCTTCAGAACACTGGCATTTGCTTTCTTGCTCATTCTTGCACTTACACAAATATAAACTCCCCGGAAGAAATCGGAATCTAGATCCTAAGCACAGTTATTTTTTAAGTGAGTACATAAGTACAGTATTGCAACCTAAGACTGGGAACTTCAGATGATGGAAAACCAATTGCAAAGCTGGACTGAAGAAAGTAGAATGTGCGAGAAGCAAATGAAATTGGGCTTACCTATCTGGTAGCCATATGGGCAAACCTTACCATATAAAGAAGCAGTAAAAATACCTTGTGAGCTTCCTTCGGATAAACAGATTGAGACTTCGTCATTTCTGTCATTATCATCTCCCACGTCAGTTGAAGCATCATCTCCTGGAATGGGTATTGATTTGCTGCTGGAATCAGACTGATTGGAAAAATCAGCAGGGCCACCTCGAGGAGGAGGAACTTCAATTCCCATCAGGCGATATTTTCGTCTTCGATTCCCAATCCAAGTCTTGAAATAGGAAGGGCAAGGAAAATATCAGACGCTTCAGACAAATTGGAAAATTAAGGGGAAACCAAACCCTCCCTCTTCGGGTGTCTGGGAGATCACTGTCTCCTTACACAGCAGACAGAAAAAGTCTGCCTACTGTTCTCCTGACAATGAAGAACAGGAGGAGGTTGACATGCACAGATGAGCTCTTACTTGCAGGTAAGAATGTTTAGGATTGGTGTATAAGCCTTGCTCAAGTTTCTTCAACTTGAGAAAAGTTTTCACAAGTGAAAGTAAGAAAGTCTAACTTTATTTTAAAGTAGTCTGAGAATATGTTTAATGAGCTATTTAACTGACCCAGTAGTTGGATATTACCCTCTTCCTATGAAAAGATGCAGTCTCATGATGCTGGTTGTTAAAGTCCTTTATGCCCCAGGACTCATATCCCTGCAGGACCACCTCTTCCAGTATCTACCCAGGTGACAGCTCCACTCCTTGAAACAACACCAACACCAGTTGAGCCCTTCTGTAGCATAGTTAGAACTTTCTCTGCTGGATCTAGGGCTTTTTTCTACGGTGGCACCTATCAGTATATCTAATTCTCATCAATGCCAAATCTGTGGATACTTAAACTTGCGGATTACAACTATGAACAAACAAGCCAGATTTTTCTGCATACCTGAGAAAAGCCCCTAGTTTGCAGAAAAATCTAAAACAAAAACCACTCTGTGTGTGTGAAAATACCCAAATTAATAGAAGCCATGCGTGTAGCTTTAAGAAACAAATGCCTTCTGTGGTCATTGCTAAGCAACCAGAAGAATATTTGTGCTCTTTGATCTTTGAAGGAGGACTCCTCAAGGCCAAGCCAGCCAGCAACCACCAACTGCCAGTCACACATACTCAGCCTAACTACCTTGCAGGGTTGTTGCGAAGATAAAACAGAGGGGAATGATGTAGCTGCTTTGTGTTCCCATTGTGGAGAAAGACAGGGTATAAATGTGATAAATAATAAATATAGCTGAAGATGGGGAGGTAGATCAAAGATTGGTTTGTTGGTGAGGGGAAGGAAAGAGGGAAGCAGGGAAAAAAAATACACCTACCATTCTAGAATTACCACGAACATAAGGTAACTATACTAATTAAAGGGCTCTGAGAATTTTGTCTTCTGGCAAAAACAGTCATGCAGGTAGTACTGCTCAAGTTATTTTCCCTGAAAAAGAATCTTGTTGCCTATTTTCTGTCCTTGATTTCTATCATCCATATTCAAATCGTAATTCAGTTTGATGTCATTCTGTTTCTAACCCAATATGGCATCAAGAGGTGCAGCTATTTTTCCAATTCACACATGCACGTATATCACTCAACAGCTTGCCACTGTGCCTTCTGCTGAAAAGCACTGGGTTGGCCCCATCCTGCTTTTCTGCTGGTGAAAAGCAAAGGTTCCCCTTGACAACCAAAAAAAGGGCTATGCTGGAGATCACAGGACCTGCATGGACAAAAGCTGCCTCGGATGGGTGCAGGGGGAATATAGTAAGGAGAATTAAGTGAGACTGAGTGGAAAAGCTGGCTGGATCCAACCACTGTGTTTAAAGGTGGACCAAGTGATCCAAAAACACTCTGGTATCTCTGATGGCTGTTTCACACATGCAAGTAATCACTTGATAATACAGTCATCTGAGCACCAAACATACAGGTGTAGGCCACCAGTCTGGCCGTTGCAAAAGGCAATATGGAAACACATGGGCAGAGCGACAGAATAAAATACCAAAGATAAACTGATTAAGACTTCCAGTGGTCCTGATCTGAAGCTGCATTTCTTCGCATACATCATTTTCTTTTCCCTTCTCATTTGTAATCTAATTACACCAAAGTACTTGGATTTATAGTCCCGCTTAACTCAATGGGCCTAAATTGGTTTGCATCTCAGTATTTCTACTCAGTCGTGAATCACTTCTAATCTCCTTACTATCTTCTTCTCCCTCCAGTCTCTTCTATTGTATCGTTTTGCTTTTAGTGCACTGTCTTCCACCTTTGTAATCTAATTTCTACATGGGTTATGACAGATTATGCCTTAGACAGTTTGCTGTTGGTATTGTTCTAATTCTGTACTCCTAATCCTATCTCTCTTGTTTATTGGATGTCTTGCGCTGTCTGGTTAAATTGTTTCTTAAATTCTGTAGTCAGCCAAATCTCAGTGAGAAAGGCAGTCTACAAATGAAGTAAATAAAATAATAAAAATGGTATTCCAGTTGTTCACAAGACCTTTTGAAAACTTCAGCCTCTGATACAGAATAAAAGGCACAGAGACAACACCAAAAAGTTTATTTGTACATTCATTTCTGTGAACAGAATCTGGGCTTCTTTGGTGCAGTTTTCTGGGGGGAGGTAGGAATAGTAGAGAATACACACAACCTTGGATATTCATTTGCTTTTATATATTTTTCGGAAAATACAGAGCAATCTTCCACTGCAGAGAATTACTTTTATGTGCTTTTGATTATTTTCCCCTGGTACATAAAAAACACAACAATCAACACCTATCACTGGTATAGTGTTCCAAAAATATTCAAAGCCTTTCACACACATCAGCAGCCCTTACAAACACTCCCAAGTAGGTCAGTATTTCATAATGCAGATTGTTGACTGCGCGTGCCAGGATTACAACTTGTTTTGAGATCACCTGCAAGTTTATGACTGATGGAAGCCAGATTAGAACCCCCTAGATGCTACACAGTACAAACCTGCTCTTTCTCCACACATAAATCTATATAATCCACCTTCTTATAACAGGCCACCCAGTGCAGTACTGTCTACAGTGCCAGGCACCAGATCTCCTGAATTCCAGGCTTTCTCCATCTGGCTTGAAATCCTTGAATTTGAAATGCCAGGCAGTAAACATTGGACCTTCTCCTTCCTCTGTCCCTTTTCCATTAGGAAAAAGAGCTCCATATCCTTCTGGTTAAAGATGCTTTACATGCTGACCAAGTGTAACAGTTATCCCTTTTCAGCCCTTGCTTGTACAAAAACCTATATAAATCTCAGCCCAACTGGAGTGTCAAGCATCCAGCTTGGGCTGCCAATCGATAAATGTCTCACCTGAGGGATTTTAGCTATAAATAGGCAAGAAACAGAGCAAGAGAGCACTTCCTAACGTGGCCATTCATTATGTAACACGTGCAATCTATTTCAGTCTACCTCATGCAATTTTAAAGAAAGCTTTAATCTAGGCTATTTTTGCTTTGGCAAGAAAAACCAAGAGTTCCTTACCCGCACTATTTCACAGTCAACATTCAACTCTGCAGCAACCGCTTCAATTTTTTCTCTGCAAACTGAGCCAAGGCTGGTCATTCCCTTGTCCCAGTATTTCTTGAGGGTCGCTAAATCCCGGTCACTGAATTGTGTACGGTCCTGTAGCTGCAAGACAAACATATAGGTTTCAAAACCAGACAAGTGACAATAAGGGCAGACATTGAAAATGAGGGCATCCTTTGTGCTTTTGGAAAAGGAAAACAAAACAAGCACATTAAAGACAGACCATTCAAACTTTAGGTTTTGTTTAGTTTAGTCTTGTAAAAATTCCTCATAAGAACATGATGAAAAAGTGGAAGTTCAATATCCACTACGCTTATGAGACAATACAGGACAGGCCACCTGTAGGGCACAAAACCCGGCCACGTCCAGCAGGAAAAGCACAGCGGTGTGTTGCAGCTATGCGCTCTGCCTTTGGACCAATGGAGCAGTCCCACAGATGGAAGAGGGGTAATTTTTTACCAATTCCCCCCTCCCACTGCAGACCTCCAACTCTCACCTCATTATGTTCATGGGGTGATAGTTTAGGCTGCATAAGAAAAGGAGACATAAGGAAGTCATATTCTGTGAACTGAAATCCCTTCTGTCTGCAGAATTTACTGTTGATCCAAGACTCTGCCTTCACTGTACAAACCCAGTCCCCACCCCTCACATGCACATTGTAAGAAAATAAGGTATTAAAAGAAACTCTATCTCCAGTCATAAATAGCAGCCACAACTGAGAAACCTCACACTGCCTGTAGAAAATGTGCAGGCTTGGAATTTGCACAGCTTCAAGAGGGTTCCAAAACAGGGCAGCAGTCCGCAAAACACCTCTCTGTGCTTAGGCCTCCGTGCATATGGATATAAACAAGAGGGCACTCTCAGGCTATGGCTCTGAAATGGGCCTTCTGCTACTGCTGCAAGACATGTTATGAAATGGAGCCTCTACATCCAGAGGATAAATTTGCTTTCTTGGGTCGTTTGTGGGTTCCTGAGAGCATCTAGCTGGCCACTGCAGTAAACAAAATGCTGGATTAGATAGAACTTTGATCAGATATAGCAGCGATCATCTTATGTGTGTCTCCCATTGGCGGTTCTCTCAAATGCAGACCTTGCATTTTTTGCCATACAAGGCAATGGAGTGAATACATTGAGCTTCCCTCTATGCCAAAAAGAGAAGACTGAAACCATGGAAACCAGTGAGGAGAGCCACATTAGCTCCCACACCACGGCCCCTTGGTGTCCCAGGCGGTCCGAGTTCCCACCATGCCCAAAGCCATTATTAGTTCTCAGGCTTCTGCCTGTTTCTGCTGCAGCTGATCTTGGTCCCTCCCATCACATGTAAACTTATCTGAACTCCCACAAGATCCCACTGAAACTAGCAAAGGGGAATGTAAATTGGGGGTGAAACTGTCACCAACCAACCATTTGGAAGCAGGTCATTTAAGAAGAAAAAAAGAACACCACATTAACCATGTACACTAGCTTTCATTTTGCTATTTGAAACAATGCTGCTTGCAAAATCATTCACATCTTCCTGGTGCTGAATTCATCAGTCTAGTTTAGTTTATTATTATTATGAGTCAGGGATATCAACAATACATAACACACATTGGATGCATAAAATAGATACTCCGTACAGAACAACAACAAGTTTAATATGGTCAGAGACCAACCAAATAACATACATATTCCATATAGAAAATATACAATTAATAGTAATCATAAAATTATTAAAACACTAGACCATGTTTTCCTGCCTTGTTAAACATGCCAGAGCACAGAATCTTACTACCTTAAGGGTAGTTTTGTTGAAACAGTCAGCAAGAAGTATAGAAATAATTTGATCTGCCTGGATATTTGGACAGAATTGGGGTAATGTACGTATTCCGAATGTCCTGATAATATTGACAGTGCAAGAAATAAACATTTCTTATTCCCACCATTTTTTATTTCTACCATTCCAGACTGACATGGGCAGAGACATTGGACATATGGGATATTGGATATGGGATATTGGATATGCATGTCTCCCTTCAAGAAGGGCAGATGGGAGGGCACTGAAATGGGCCAGAGTGTTTGGTTAATCCGTGGTGTTTGGTTAATCTGATGGAACAGAATTTTTGTTGCAGTTCCCCACTGCCAGAGCAGAGTGGGCCCGTGATCTGTTGACTTGAAGGGTGGTGTCCCATAGTCTCTGTCTGATTAGTGCTCAAGATGCAGTACCCAAGATGCAGTAAGACTGTACAGGAGAAACCAAGTAGTTGCAATTTGTCCTCTATCGCTCTCACCCGCCTTGAGTGAAAATCGTCTGAAAGAGTCAGTAAAGTCAATCCAGGAGGGGAGAGGCTTAACTTGAGCCAGAAGTGTGTAGCTTGGAACCAGGCACGTACTTCTAGTGGAACCAACTCTGTGTAAAACTCTCCCTGCTGCACCGGAGCGGTGCCCCCAGTGGCCATGGTGTTAGCACTCGCAACCTGACCCAGGCCGAGGAGACGGTCCTAGGAGCGTCGAGTTCTCACAAAGGGAGAGGGAGTGAAGGGCCTCAGACAGGCAGGGGACAGGGTTAATGTCACCCCTCTGCCAGCGCGCTGCGGAATTCTCTCTCTCTTAGCCGTTGTTCGTATCTCTCTGCCACAGCCCTCCTCTGCTCCACAGTGCACTCCTCCCCCCCTGGGCCCTTCTCCGACCCTGCCTTTTATCTCCCTGCTCCCCTCCCAGGACCGCCCATCCTCCCTCCGACTCTGGCCCCGACCTCCTTTATCCACCTGGATGCCGACAAGGCATCTCAGGGGTGAGTGCTGTCGCGCCGGCAGCGACCCTGGCAACCTCTGGGCCGCGCCGCCGCCGATTGGCGGTCGTTCCTGCTGCTCCATTTCCGTTCTTGTCCTGCAGGTGAGGCTGCCGCTACCCTTCTCCTTTTCCCCGGCGTCATCCGCGGGCCCCTGTCTTGCCTCCGAGCCCGGCCAACCCGGCATGATTGGTGGTGGGCAACTGCTCCTGTCTCCCTCCATGGACCATTGGCGTTCATCCCACCTGGTGAGTTGTGCGTGGGGGGCCTCGAGGGGTCAGTCGGGGCCCCCGGTTCCTAGTCTGTTCGTCCTGCGACCTCCGGACCGGGACACCCTGCTTCTAGCCTAAGCAGGGCATTGGGTACACAACGAGGTATTCCAAATAAGGATCTGAGGAATTTGGATTGGATTGCTTCTAGTTTACAGTAGTCACTGTACAGACATGTCTGTGAACCATACGTAAGCTGGGGAACCACCTTGCCCTGAAAGACTTCCAATGCATATGGTATACAAGAGACCCCTTTTGTAAAGAAGAATCTTAAAGTCGCTGTAGCCACTCTTTGGGAAGATTCAGTTACATGGGAAAGCTGAGCTGTCCATGAGCCAGATGAACATGTTCTACACATCAGTCATGTTCTACACATCCTGAAGGACAGGTTATCAGACAGTTTTCTAGGGAAAACCTTCAATTAGTTCACTATAAAAGACAGCCCTTTTGGATAGTAGGGGCGGCATCTTTGTTATACTCAAGACTGCACGTGGTTTCTCATGTGTGAAGGTCAACATTTGCTGCTTTTCAAACTTTGGACAAGTACCTCCTGCATGGAGCGTGGACTCTTTGAGACATCCTAGGAGGGAGGAGCTGTGCAAAAATATCCCCTCACGTGAGTGACTTTTAAATGGGTCTTAATGCATAGGTGTTGCTGTGCTGAAGGACAGAAAAATAAGGCTCTTTTTAGCCAGGGAACATTCTGCAGAGGACACTTGCATCACAAGCATACTCTTATGCTATCCCTTCTTAAGGTTGCTTGTGCTTTCCAGTAATCACTACCTACCATTAAAAGCCTCTACACATAACTCTTCTACTGTTCTCACAGAGAAATGCAAATTAAGAAGATGGATTCCTGCAGTTTGTTCAGGCAACTATCACCAACGTAGGCTATTCCACTCTTTCTATGGATGCCTCTCTCAGTTATGTAAAGAAAGTCTTTCCCTCCTCTAAACAGCAGAGCAGAGATCTTTGTGATATTCCCATGTAAGTGTAACTGCAAGGATTCAGCCAAAGACAGAACCTTGCTGTATGTAAGAAAATCTTCACTTTTTAGATTCGCTGACCCAGAGGAAGGCCCAATTTCTAACTTAAGGTGTTTCAGAACTGTTAAGAGGACTGGTTTTGGAGCATGCAGATCACATCACTGACTGCCTCGGGCAGTTTTGTTGTTGTTGCATTTTTAGGTACTCCCCCCCAAATATTATTGCATTCTTGGAAAACTCCCCCTGCCCAAATATTGTTGTTGTTGTTCAGTCGCACAGTCGAGTCCGACTCTTCGCGACCCCATGGATCATCTCCCGCCAGGCCCTCCTGTCTTCTGCATTATTATTGCATTCTTGGAAAACTCAAAGTCGGTTTCATGGGATTCCTAGGCAGTTTGTGTGATTTGTTTAGCTCTGTAGGAGCAGCACGTGCTCTCAGAGTATCCTAAACCTTCCCAAGAGGTGAAGAAACCTCTCAAGGAAGAACAATATGCCAGATATCAACATTATTGTCATTATCATCCACAACACACACAGAGTGCGGAAAAATTAAGGCGAGGGCACAATGTAGCTTTCTTTTTCTTTTTCTGCCATCAAGTTGCAGCCAATTTACAGCAACTCCATGGGGTTTTCAAGGCAAGAGACTACAGAGGTGGTTTGCCATTGCCTGCCTCTGCATAGTGACCCTGGACGTCCTTGGTGGGTTCTCATCCAAATACTGCTCGGAGCTGACCTTGCTTAGCTTCTGAGATCTAACAAGCTCAGGCTACCCAGGTTCATGGCACAGTGTAGCATGGTCCTCCACAAAAGATAACAGAAAGACCATGTGTGATGCATGAGAAGAGATCCTGCCCCTTTCTGTCAACCACCGGTTGCCTGTTTGGGGGTATGTGCAGAGCAGCTAAGAACCAATCAGGGCCCATGGATGGCTGAGGAAGCCAGATGGGAGGGGGGAATGAGAGAGAAAAAGCTATCACACTGTGAGCTCAGAGCAAACAGGGTTTGGGTCTCTAGAGTGTTAGTTAGGACTGAGAACAGGTCTAGGAGACTAGCTCTCAGAGTCTGTTCTGGGTGCAA